TTTAGTGTGTGTGCATGTGTGATTTTTCTTACACCCGTCATCAAACTGTAAACAGTCTTGAGACATATTGAGAGCTATTAAGTATGAATTTCTCATCTGAGTGAATCTGTGTGAAATTACTTGGAAGACATTGCCTATAATGTCACATAAAGTTTAATGAATTAAAATGAAAACATACCATGACTTTAGGCCTCTTTAGGCCAGGATATGACAGACCCACCTCTTGGTCTACAAAGTGGAGGCTATCTCACCTCACCTTTCTGGTTTCAACAACATGAAAAAAAACATCGATTCTTCATTTTATATAGTTTGTTCCCGTTGGGGTGTGTACTTGTAGTGAAGCTGTGCAGCAAAAAAATGGACATGGAACATTTAATGCTTTCAGTAAATGTTTGAAATGCATTGTTTTTCTTGGTGATATTGTACTTGTAAGTCCTAATATGACAGGCTGTTCCATCCAATTTTAGCACATTCACCCTCTTGGTTATACAAGGCAGGAAGATAGGTTTGATAAATCTAATGAGGAAAAAGGAGGAAATGGAGATATGTCCTTCATTATCATCACTATATTACACACTGGTAACAGCAAGACTAAAAGTCTATGGCCATGCTAGTAGCTCTGTGAGGAGTGCTTTGAGCTAAATGCTAACATGCTGACAGTGACAAGCTCAATATTTACGCTGCATTTGCGAAATGTTTTTGAAGCGTTCGCACATCATTCCAAGATGGTTACCCCACAGCTAGCTAGCTAAATGTCCAATATTAGCTTATTTTGCAGTGTTAGATTTTTGGAACAGTTTGTGAACAAGTGAAACCAGAAAGCCTAAATCTTGTATAACTCCTTTTAAGCTATAAATACATACCTTAGGTCTCTAGCGACCCGGGACTATAGTTTACCCTGTCTAATTCATTAATTTAGCCTAATTAACTTAAGCACTCAACCTGGTATTCTCAATATAACAAGTTATATAGTGAAATTGAGTTTTGTAAGGTGTAAGTTTTACTGGCAGTATGCTAGATGCAAGTGATACAAGGTACAAGGTTGTTTGTTTGTCATTATACAACACAAGGTTGTATAACGAAAAAAGAAAGTTTGTAGTCCCTTCATTCTACACACACAGACGTAACATTAAGTGTTTCTTACATGTGGTTAGATGTAAAATAAAAAAAATAGTATGAACAGTTATTTATATACAAATACACATACACACCCAGAACATTCTGCAGTGCATTTTTTGAATTTGCATCTGGGTGAATGTAAACAGCAGCAACAAGATGATAATATGGTTTCATCTTCACATTAAAATGTCTGATATTCGGGAAACAGTGTCCATCTTGACTGCGTTTGATCACCAAGCATCATCGATGTATAACACAGAGTCCTCCTCCTCTCAAGGGGGTAAGGAAACCTGGGACCCAAGGTACATATTCTCCGACCTTGCTGCTAGAAAGGCACAAGTGGTCTGCCTGGTCAATTTTCCAACTTGGGAAGCAAGAAGTACTCACAAGCGTTGCACTTTACTGAAAAACCTTTCCCACTCTACAGCTGGTAATTATGGTATGACAGATTTGACATAAATGCGGCATCAGAAGTTATAATGTTGCATGCTCACCCTCTTATTTAGCATGTTGAATGCTGAATATCTGTACTAAATATTTATGGCAATCCATCAATTGGTATCAAGTAACTCAAAATCCACAAATATAAACGTCATAGTGGCAACAAATGCCTGCGTAAAATGTGATGGCAATTAATCCAATAGTTGTTGAGATATTTCAGTCTGCACCGAGTAACCCACCAACACTGCCATCCACAGAGATGTGCTGCTAGAGTGGCTAAAAACCACAGCTACTGTTTAAGACTTTGAGCTGGTGCATTGGAACATCATACCACCATTCAGTTAGGTGGATTTAATAAAGGCAAGCCAGCAGATATGAATGCCCAAGCAGAATTTGGTGATGGCCTTTGGTGATACAGATAGCTGAGTGCGGAAAATGTCACCCACTTAACCTGCTCTGTGACAAAACAGATGAGACAAACAGGAAATGGCTTTTCATCTGCCTGCCATGCTATCTCAATTACGGTTTGATTTCATGTACATCTAGTAAAGTCTCCTGAGTCGGTGTCTCAGTGTGATGTGATTTTTTTTGAACAAATCAATTTTCAGGGCTTGAGATCAAGCAGAGAGCAAAAGTGAGTAGCACCGCTCGGGAAGGAGCTGAAACTGGCCAGCGGGTATGGGAGCAAAGGCATGGGAGAAATGTCAAAATAATAGGTTATTATTTGCACAGACTCTGCTCTGCTCTCCATTCTTAGTGAGTGTTCTATGCTATATCTGTTATTTGGGAAAGGTGTCCTGTAACTAAGGAGGAAATGCATTGTGTGAGATTTGGTTGAATGTCATGGCTAAAGGAGGAAGAAGCAACACTTTAAAAATGGCTGCTGCCTCCAGACATGGCACAAATGGCACAAATGGTGTCAAGGTGACCTGGCACTGAAGGAATGGCTCTTCATCTCTGTGCATGGGGAGTATGAAGATGTTACATGTGGCTAAAGGGCAGATGTTGTTTATGAGCAAAACCTAATTAGAATTGCAGAGTGTTCAAAGCAATAAACTGAAAAGAACAGTCTCTTCTTGTTCTGAGGGTGCTAAAGGACACAGAAACATCATGTTAATCTGAAACAAACAGAAACTACAACACTATTTTTATTAAGAGCAATTTTCAAATGAGCATCATCACAGAATTATAAGTATAAGGAATATTAAACTAGTATTTCAAGGATAACTCTGATGCCAAAGATTATTTTACTTATTATATAAAGGTCACTGTAAACACAACAGGACAGCAAGTGTAGTTTAAATCCCCAAAGGGATGTTGTAGGGATATTATAGAGAAGGAATGTGTGCTTCAAAAGAAAGCAATCATATAAAAGCAATGCCGTTGCAGTTCATATCTGACAATCTCAGGGTTCAATCACTGCTGGATTCTGTGGGTTTGATTTAGAGCTTTGCCAACAATCAGAGATGTGTAAAGCCCTGAACCCTGAGAAGGTAATCCAAGGGACAAACTACAAATACTAACCTTTAGTCTGGCAGTCAAGGACATCATGCATCATCAGAGTACTTTTTACTGTGGCAAATCATATTATTAAGTCTAAATCTTTGATGGAATGGGTTGTCTTTTTTTCCCCAGAGGAGGCAGACAGCAAAAAAACCTTTGTGTTTTGGTCACCGCTGTTCAGACTGACAGCGCCGTACTGAAGTCAAGGGCTGAGTGACTGCTGTTTGAATGGCATTCAAACTGTAGAGTGAAACTACAGTAGTCTGGCTAGACCATCCTTCTCTCAGTCCTAATTATGTGGAGCTGGAACAGAAGTGAAAGGCTAAGAAGGCCCTGCATCATTAGCTTTAATCAACCCTGCATACCCTGAAACAAAGACAACACATGCACACATTCACACATGTTTGATCCACCATCCTCGTGGGCACATCTCATTGACATCTAATGCATTCCCTAGCAGCTAACCGTACCCTTAACCATCACAACTGCATGCCTAACCTTAACCCTGATCCTACTCCTAACCTTAACCAAATTGTAACCTGAACCCTAAAACCACGTCTTAACCCTTAAAAAGCGGTCTGTACTCGTGGGGGCCTCAAACTTTGTTCCCGCTGCTACATGAGTTCCCATGGGTCAGTGTTCATTCAGGTTAAAGTCCCCACCGAGATATAAGAACATGAAACACACACACACACACACACACACACAGCTAGTCTGACAGTGAGTCAATACCTTACATTCATCATTTCAGTCCAGCCAGGCTTTTTAATTACTGCAATGAACCTGCTGTACGTACAGGGTTTATTGTTGAAGTTTTGCTTTGTCTAGACACTATTTAATGGATAAATAGGCAGGGTAGTCTGGCTTTGTTCTCTCTTTGGTGAATATGAACAAATGGGAGAAATACATCTTTGCAGCTACTTGACTCTGAATTCTGAATGCGATCAAATATAAGTTCTCACAGTCCCGTACTGGTGACACGTTTCTGTTGTGATGAACTGCCTAAAATGTGACTCTTTTCCTAAAACCATTAAGCTTAATTATCTGATGTCTCCCTGGTGTCTGAAACATGCAAGATGAGCAACAAGCACTGTGTGAAATCTGTGTGAATGATGCAGAATTCATCAGCATGGATGTCACAGTGAACCCAATGTCACAAACCAGAACACTTTGGCATGCCACACATGTGTGACTACAAAAAACTATGGCAATTAGCATATATTACTTGTCTTAGAAGCAGCAGTCCTGCGCATCATAAATGTGTTATTAATATACATAATGAGGGGTTGATTGATTGTTCTTAGAAGAATAGAGAACAACACAACCCCAATTTCTGATATGTAGGCTATTTGGTTATACATGCAGTCTAAATTTTCCATATGTTTAGTCATTGACCTCCAGTTTGTATGAGGGTGCATTTAATTTGAAAGTGTGAGCTGTTTAAATAAGAGTCTAATTAAATGGTGAATATGAGCCAATTTAATGTTAATCTTGCTACCTTTGCTGGTGAGTGCAGTCCATTATGATGCATGAATACAGGATGTAGTATAGTGTCCCCTGCAGGCCAGTAGTTATACTACTATAATCCTGCATGTGCCTGACAGAAAAGACAGAGACATACAAAAACAAAATAAACCACCAATAAGGCAAATAAAATAAATAAATAAGCATACAGCAATCATCAACATACAAAAAACGATTATTTATGGCATTATTTATGTATTTCCAATTTATAATTCCAATATCACGCTTGTTTTTCTAGCTCAGTATTAAATTAGTCTACCACTAATTTCCACCACCATATTTCTTTTTTAGTATTGATATAATTGACAAATGGGTGTGTGTTTACCCATTTAACGTTACCAAGAACAGCGTTTGCTGTGGGCGGCCACAATATAGAGCAACGCGCGAGCAAGTTTTGTCTCTCGTCAGCTTCTGTATCTTCACCAGGAAGTTGCTACAATTTCATTCATTCCAGTTCAGTTCACGGACTGTAGAGTTTATGCATTAAGTATTACAACACTTTATTTCAAAATGCGTAGACGAACCGAAGCTCAAGCACCAAGCAATGTACCCGTCAATGCTGATAGAAAGGTAATGCAACGTTAGCGATAGCTAGCTTCCCAAAGCTAACTTACTGTGTCTGTTAAATTAGCTAACAGTAGCTGTTCGCCAAGTCTTCGTTCGTTCAAGTCGAAAGCTGTCGTCAAAGTATGTCAGCTACGGACGTTTTCCTGCTCTTATTCTGATTTCTCGTTATGTGGAGCATGACTCAGAATCCGTCCCTCAGATTTGCACAATTTTAATAACTCTGCTTATATACAGCTTACTCACTTCTTATCCCTATTAATATATATATTTAAAACAAATCATTAACAACAGTTCTCTTATTCGGCATGCTTCCAGAACAATAAAATTACAATATTTGCAGCTGTTTGACTAGTGAGAAGGTCAAATCTACCAAAATGTTAACCCAGATACCCTCAATTAACTTTTGGGGTTTTGATGAAAAATATTTTTGCAGGGCATGGACTCTAGGGTGCTGTAGTCAGGACAGTGTGTGAGCTAACATTGCATTTTCTTCTCTACATAAACTAGGATCCGGATCAAAGACTGCACAGCCCAGCTGCAGCAGAGGGCAGAGTGTCTTACAGCTCTATGCTCATGAACATTGGAAAGTGTTTACTTTTAATCATCATCATCCCTCCGTTCCTCAACTATGCATCATTGCAGAGAGAAGGACAAATGCTCTTGCCTAAAGGTGCTTTTTTAATTTTAGATTTTTTAAATAATTTTATTAAATGTATAAAACTATTAGACAGCATCCAGTGGGAGATAGTCTGTAGCTTTTTGTTATTGTTTTGCCAAATGAGAAGTCTCCTGTAAATCCTTATCTTTCTGTCTATTCTTTTCCCTCTTACATCCAGATAGCCAGATTGTTGATGTTGGTTTGGGTCAAAAGATGCATCTTTTGTGTAAAGGACATGGACAACCAGTTGGTAAGTTGGTAATAAATACTATGAAGATAATCTATGATCTGCCATGAAAGGTTATGAAAAATGATCAACATTTTTCAGGCACATGGTCTTATGTCTGCGTGGCTTGTTATTGTCTTTTAACTGAGCACAGCACAACCTAACCCATTTATTTTTCTTTAGTCATACTGGATGCACCAACTGGAATGTCCTCAGACGTCTGGTTGCATGTCCAAGAAAATGTGGCCTCATTAACAAAGGTGAGAAATTACACAAATATTGCTGATTGTATTGAATGGTTGCAATTTGAAAAGCTTTTTTATCACTATGTTAAAACAAGGTGCCTCATTCACAAAGGGTGAGTTAGCATACAGTACTGACCTTAGTTCTTCCTTTGACCAAGAAAATACACTGTGTTGACCTTTCTCTGGAATCAGTTACTAATGCGGCCATGTTGTTTGTTGTCGGGGGCATGCAGGGACAGTCCTGGCTCTGCCACATCCACTCTGCTCAACAAGGACTCAGTACAGCAGAAAGTCTGGGCTGACAGCTTGCCCCATGTTGTTTGTTTGAAATGTGACCCAAACAAGGTCACAGGCTTGTTGGGGATGACCTAGATTCATCAGAACTAAATCACATAAGCAGTGACAAAAACAAACAGGCGGGGTATTGTTTACAACTTTATCTGTATCTTATTTTTCTGTGTTACTCAGCCATTTATGCATTTTTAAAGTGCCCACACAGGATAGGGTTGGGCTGAGCCCCTTAAAGAGAGCATATTGTGTGAATGTAGAGCAAGGTGCATTTAAAAATCCCTCTAAACCTGTGGTGTCCCTGTTTGTTTGTCACACTGCTCAGGTTTGCACCTATGACAGAATGGGACTGGGCTTCAGCAAGCGGCTGTTGCAGAATGAAACCACAGGAACTGAGAAAGTTTGGGGGATGTCAACAACTGGACGGTTTGTATACTACTTCAGTCATTTTGAGTGGCATATAAAATGTGGGGTAACATTATTTTTTTTGCAAAGCATGCTGCTGTACACAAAGTCTACACTGTAAACATAATGCCACCATTTCAAAATGTTCTTTTATTGCCATGAAGTGGTTTCTGAGTGAATGGGCTGTTTTACACCTGTCAACTTCCTTTTCGCCATCAACAGAGGCGGCTGATGTAGGTCATGTATTATCTAATGTCTATTTAACATCCAAGGCAATTCATTTATGTGGACAATCCCAAGGAATTGATGCTTGTTATTTTATTACCGAACACAGAGCAAAAGCAGCATTTGAGAGGTTGGAACCATAGAATTTATTAAGCTTTTGCTTGGAAATTGACTCAAGACGGTTGATTGATTATCTGGATTGTTGCTAATTAATTTTCTGTTGATCGACACATTTTTTCAGCTCTATAAATAACTAAAAGGATTAATCAGTTATACAAATTGTTGCAGATTAATGCTATCTGTTGATCAAATTAATCATTTCAGCACTAGATCAGTCAGATTGTGAAAATGATGCAGGGCCTGCATCTAGTGCAATAAAGCACATCAAATTCAGTTTCTTATTATTTACTACTATACAGTATTTATCCACTGGGAATCAATATTTCCTTGATAAAGTGGCTGCTTGGGACATTATTGTCCTTACTGGAAGTGTAGACTAGTGTGCGGGTGGAGAACTTGTGCCTTCACACCACGGTCTTTGACATCGTAACGCGTTTGTTGAGTCTTAAATCTGCCAGAGGTATGAGCAGGCGTGGTTCTCCGACGGCCAGCAGACTAGTTTACCTTGGCATCTGGCCCAGTAAGCGGGCATCTGCCCATTTGAGATGCAAGCAATCAATTTCCCAGAATTCAATATCTCAAGGAGTTTGATGACTTCTCAACCTTAACCCTTGGAGTCTCTCCATTGCGGTGTGACACCACAGGTTTGATTTATTGGCACAACAAACAGCAGATGGCTCTCGGAGAGGAGCTGCTGCATCTCATGTAATGATGATGCGTCCTCTGATGATATAAGTTTGTTTTTCCTGCGGATTGCATTGAAAAGGAGCCAGCAGTCCCTTACTTTACGCTGTCATTTGGGTTTCAGCAGTGCTGTTTATTTTGGTGCCATGTCTGGAAAGAGATTAAATAGAAAACTTAAAATACTGCTGACCTTTTATTCAGTTGTTACCATTGTTAATTTTAAGATAGAATATGTAAAACTTCCCTCTTAGGTTATTTCTGCTTTTTAATAATGACTCGCTAGTACGTTCTTAATAAACCTGTTAATGAGCAGATTAGAGATGAATAAGATTAATGATGACCTGTGGTGTTCATCTTTCACGCTAGGAGTCCTAGTCCCACCTAACTGAATAAATAAACCTCCTGGCCCAGTTTACAGCGTGCCCTGGTTTTGTGCAGAGATAGATGAATGTTGTTGTCTTCCAGCATGGTGGATGATCTACACAGACTCCTGCAGGCTGCTGGGATAGCCAAGCCCTTCATCCTGGTGGGCTCTGAGCTCGGCACACTCAATGGCAGGTTTTACAGCCACATTCATGATGTGTAAGTATTGCTGAATGGAAATGCGTAGCTCCACTAATTCTACACATAGAGGTTAGTTAACTTGTCATGTGGAGTACTACTTATCTTGTGAAAACAGCAAGACAACAGACAGAGCTTTGTTAAGTCTGAGAAAGTAACCCTGATTTTATCCTCAAGGTTACAGTGAGAAAAATAAGTATTTGAACACCCTGGTATTTTGCAAGTTCTCCCACTTAGAAATCATGGAGGGGTCTGAAATTGTCATTGTAGGTGCATGTCCACTGTGAGAGACATAATCTAAAGAAATCACAATGTATGATTTTTTAACTATTTATTTGTATGATACAGCTGCAAATAAGTATTTGAACACCTGTCTATCAGCTAGAATTCTGACTCTCAAAGACCTGTTAGTCTGCCTTCAAAATGTCCACCTGTACTCCATTTATTATCCTAAATTAGATGCACCTGTTTGAGGTCGTTAGCTGCATAAAGACACCTGTCCACCCCATACAATCAGTAAGAATCCAACTACTAACATGGCCGAGACCAAAGAGCTGTCCAAAGACACTAGAGACAAAAACCTCCACAAGGCTGGAAAGGGCTACGGGGAAATTGCCAAGCAGCTTGGTGAAAAAAGGTCCACTATTGGAGCAATCATTAGAAAATGGAAGAAGCTAAACATGACTGTCAATCTCCCTCGGACTGGGGCTCCATGCAAGATCTCACCTCGTGGGGTCTCAATGATCCTAAGAAAGGTGAGAAATCAGCCCAGAACTACACTGGAGGAGCTGGTCAATGACCTGAAAAGAGCTGGGACCACCGTTTCCAAGGTTACTGTTGGTAATACACTAAGACGTCATGGTTTGAAATCACGCATGGCACGGAAGGTTCCCCTGCTTAAACCAGCGCATGTCAAGGCCCGTCTTCAGTTTGCCAATGACCATTTGGATGATCCAGAGGAGTCATGGGAGAAAGTCATGTGGTCAGATGAGACCAAAATAGAAGTTTTTGGTCATAATTCCACTAACCGTGTTTGGAGGAAGAAGAATGATGAGTACCATCCCAAGAACACCATCCCTACTGTGAAGCATGGGGGTGGTAGCATCATGCTTTGGGGGTGTTTTTCTGCACATGGGACAGGGCGACTGCACTGTCTTAAGGAGAGGATGACCGGGGCCATGTATTGCGAGATTTTGGGGAACAACCTCCTTCCCTCAGTTAGAGCATTGAAGATGGGTCGAGACTGGGTCTTCCAACATGACAATGACCCGAAGCACACAGCCAGGATAACCAAGGAGTGGCTCTGTAAGAAGCATATCAAGGTTCTGGCGTGGCCTAGCCAGTCTCCAGACCTAAACCCAGTAGAAAATCTTTGGAGGGAGCTCAAACTCCATGTTTCTCAGCAACAGCCCAAAACCTGACTGATCTAGAGAAGATCTGTGTGGAGGAGTGGGCCAAAATCCCTCCTGCAGTGTGTGCAAACCTGGTGAAAAACTATAGGAAACGTTTGACCTCTGTAATTGCAAACAAAGGCTACTGTACCAAATATTAACATTGATTTTCTCAGGTGTTCAAATACTTATTTGCAGCTGTATCATACAAATAAATAGTTAAATAATCATACATTGTGATTTTCTGGATTTTTTTTTTATTTTATTTTTTAGATTATGTCTCTCACAGTGGACATGCACCTACGATGACAATTTCAGACCCCTCCATGATTTCTAAGTGGGAGAACTGGGGCTTGCTTTGAAGGCTAAATATTTATAACAGAAAGCATTACAAACTGCTTGGAGTTTGAAAGATGTGATTTACCAGACAAGCAGGATGAGAATTAAACATTACGGGAAATGTAGGATCCTGAGCTCTAGGAGCACAACCCATAGTAGGGACTTGCATCTCATCCTCACCTACTTAAATTTTGGCCATTCTTTTTTCATCTGTAGCCCCGTAAGCTTTTTAAAAGTGCATTACTAAATTGCTTAAATACTACTAACCGGTGCCAAAATGAAATTACTGACACAAGCAAAATTTGTATTTTTATTGGTTTATTTAACAGGGACAGTACACTTTAATAAACATTGCTGTAACTTCACTAGAGTTGCTCAAATAAATACACATACAAATGGATGAAAGAAATAACCTAATGACTCACTCTGGCACATTAAAAACAAGCAAAAAAGACACAGGTATGCTATATTTTGCTGTTAGTAAATCTACCAAGTGTCTGAATTTTAGAACCTTTAATTTAATAAAGTGGGTGAGTTGGTGCAGTATTTTTTGTTCACAGTTGTTATAGCTCTGTTTGGGAATATAAATGTATTATTTTTTTTATTAAACCTTTATTTAACCAGGCAGGAACTTAAGAACTTAAGGTGTACGTATGGTCAATAAAAGTGGCTTTTTATTTATTTTAATAGGTATTTCCCACGATTAAACACAGTAAATGATAAGTACAAATTAACGCTATAAGACTTGTGCTTTCCAGCATGATTTACTATTTACTAAAAAGTTGCTTTGACACAATCTCAACATCACTCACATAAGACGTAAAATAAAAAATCGGTAGTCTGGAAATTGCTTTATAACATATGGCATGCAGTGCCTCCCAAACACACACTTAACAAAATCTATTCCAGTGTCCATTCCCATCATCTCCCATTACTCAGCCATCTCAGAGACAACATGGTGATTAACAGGAGAAGTAGCCCGTACCAGGGATGAAAGATTTTGTATTTAATCAAGCATGATGTTGCTGCCGTTAAGAGAGAAAATGAACTAGTGGTGAGTGGATGACACCTGTCCAAATGGAAATATTGCCACTGGAACTGGTATACGTGTGGTCATCTGTCTGTGGGGACAGAGGACAGACGAATCTACTGAAAGACTGACCAGATGACACCATCCATCTCACACTCATTACAGCCAAGGCAGGGGTGGTGCGGTAAAGTGGACAAGGGCAGTCAATGAGTCTTACTTCATCTGAGTTTGTGTGTGTCCTCCCTTTGTCCTCAGGCAAGTGTCAGACCTGGTGCTGATTGATCCCATCCCAGAGGACGTTTTTGAGGAGGACCAGTGGAAAGACTACTGGTGAGTTTATAGCTGCTTTCAGGGGCGTAGGAAGGAGAGAAGTGGGGGAAAAAGTGGAGGAAGAGGGAGAATAGAAAGATGCTGAAGATGCAGAAAGTAGGGAGGGATGTGAAAAAGTGGAATGTAAAAGAAGATTGAGAAAAGAGGAGCTTGGAGAGGAGCTTGGAAAGGAGCAAGGAGGACGATAAGAAGCTCTGAGGGACAGATAAAGACAGGGAAGAGGAGAAGAAAATAGGAAATGTATCAAGAAAAAGAGGATTAGCATGAGGAGATTGGGAGGCAGCGACGCTAGCGTGTTTCACGAGTCAAACTCCAAACTCTTCCCTTATTGGCCTTTATGGTGAGAAGAGTTGATTATCTTTGCAGGGTGGGGCTCATTATCATGATTAATTGGAGGCCAAAGAAACTAATTAGCTGATCGCACCCTTTTAGCGTGAAACAGATGAGGGGAGATCGAGGGTTGTGGTGGTGGTCGGGACTGAGTGACAGAGAGTGTAATAACACTGCTTTAATCCTCCAGGCAAGATATATGTCAAGTGGTAGTAATTGTCACAGCATATATCTCATTATGCTTTCATTATCATATGGGGGGGGGCTTATTAATGATAACTGGGAGTGAAGAGGAGGAATATTGGTGGAAGTGTCAATTATGCAACACTAACACTATCTCAGATTGTTTACAAGTACAGCAAGCATGTCATGTGTTATCATTAAAAGGTATTTCACTGCTGAGGAGACAATAATTAATCCATTATATCATTTAGAAAACCACGCTAAGCTTTAAGATGTAGCTGACAGCCGAGCAGCGATGGCTACATAATGAACAAATCTCTGGAGTGTGTCTGTCCTGTGTTTTTTGTCAATTGAAAGTGAAAAACTACAACAAAAGGAAAACAATTCCACCCAATGAAATACAGCTTATTTCTCTTACGGTGTTTACAAAACATTACCTATTTCACTGGATGTAAAACATAACATCAGTCAAAATTACACTATTCCTAACTATACTAATACCAGCATGCCATTGGGATCATGCATTTTTCCATTTAATTATTTCTTGTGTGCTACACATGTTCTGTTCATCCGTACAGCGATTAATACATTAATGTACCCCTTTAACAGAAATACAATGACCTTTTTTCCTTTAGTCCTGAACTTTTGTTTCAACTTTCAATTAATTCGTTTTTGACCGGATGCATGATTTGTGCTGTTTTAAAATCTACCAAGTCTGTGAATTTTAGAGCCTTTAATTTAAAACAGTGGGTCAGTTGTTGGATAGTGGTAGTAGTTTTTATACAGTTCTTATAGCCCTCTTCGGAAGTATAAAATTTGATTTGTATTTGATTTATATGTATTTCCCTTTACTTGAGTGCAGTAAATAATATAATGAAGCATAAGTATGTTGCTTTGTAAATTTGTTGCAAAAATAAAGCTCCAAATATGATGAATTTAGTATTTCTTAAGTTCAGAGATAATTAGTTAAAATCAAAACCAACTCCAAAATCAAGTTTTTACCAAACAAAATAAGATGAAATAAATGTGTTCATCTGCAAAACAACTTTGTGTTTCGCATTCGCCTTCAAAATAAGGCTCAGTCTGCTTTATTTAAGATCAAGAAATACCCCGAATGTTCATTGTCTTTTATTGCAGCAGGTATTTCCTTCTCAAGTGCCCTCAATGCCAGCAAAGCGGATCTAAGAGTTTAAAAAACATATTTCTGTTCACATAATCTAATATTTTGTGATGTCATCTAGAAACACAAACAGGGAGATAATATGCACTTAGAGATCACAGAAAATAAATAAAGTTAAATCCAGTAATCTTATTTTGGGCATGACTTCATGACTTAGTGCATCTGTAGTTCCGTCCACCAATATTAGCTCACGGCTTATATAAGCATGAGTCAAGCCAGATAAGAAATGGATCCTTGAAAATTGCCTAATTTGTACGTGACTCAAAGTGGAGCAGCACCATTTATCAGGGGTATGTGTCCAATTATCCTCTGATTAATAGGCATTCATTTCTCTGAGTACATGACAGTGCAGCCACTATCTAATTATTCTGTGGGAACGTAATGGAGTAATGAAATGAACTTAGGTTTACTTCATAACATTTATTTTGTCATTGGTGCCGGATTTCCACGGTGTAGTAAAAATGGAAACTGGAATGGGGATTTACAGTATGAAGTCGATTTAAGAGATGTGGCACCACAGCTTCCTGTGCCGCTGGCTTTCTTTGACTAGCTTTTCCTCCTCATTTTTGTCTATTTTTTTCATTCACCATGGCTGCATGTCGGTGTGTATTTCTTTCTCTTAGACACGGGTTTATTAGCTGTCGGAGGCCTTACAGTATTTGGTACACAAGATAAGAAATGCAGAAGGGAGCAGGGATGCACCTGAGCAGGATTGTTGGAGACCGTATCAGCTTTGCACTGGGACTGGAGGATTTACACATCAAAGACCTGCTCATTAACAGAGGCTCACTCCCAAAATTAGTTCTGTTACATCCTACAAAATGAATCGCCACCATCTCCTGAGAATGGTATTTCTGCGTGCTTGTGTGTGCGCTTATGAATGTGTGAGTGTAGGCGTTTGCTTATGTGCACTTGTTGTAAGGGGTCAACTTTCTTATTTGGGATTTTCCTCTGCACCTATTTTCTGACAGATCAAGTGATTCATTGATTAACCAATAATGGAAATAATCAGTAGTTGCAGCCCGACATTAGGGACCAAGTCGACACACTTCTGGCCACATAGTGTTCTGTTTATAATAATTAGGCTTTCTGGATTCTCAAAGAGACCGTCCCTGGTTAGAGATTTCAGATGGAATTTGACAAATGCCTTCAAAGGTTATAATAAATGTCACTAAGGAAATTGCTCTTATAATTCTTTCGTCTTGTGTTTTAAAAGAAGGAATTTAGCTGTACATTTACACACTCAAGCGTGTGTGTCTCCTGTCTTTCTGCAGATGAGTGTGTTTGTGTGTGGAGTATAAAACTAATTTACCCCATGGGGAATATGTTTGCTCAGAGAGCAGAAACAGTGGGGAACACTCTCGTCTAATGGGATGGTCCTTACAATTTAATGAATGCTGATTGATTGGCAAACTCCCCGTTTTAATGTACCATTACTGTGTTTAGTGCAACTCGGCCCTCACAGGAGCACCACTTGAAAGTCTCCTCATCCCTTTCCTCTGCGTCTGAGTTCTTTTAAGTGTTAGTCAGTTAATCAGTCATAATTTGAATAATTTGAGCTTGATGCTGAGGCACAAAGTCTTTAGTTAAGGTCTGTATACAGGTACGTAGCAAAAGAATATCAAGTGAGATTGTTTTAGCTTATATGTGTATGCAAGCTATATATATCCGCTGTTTATGTTTGTGTAGATATATGGTGCATTCTGGAGGGGGTGTGTGAGGTGACGAGTCTGTCAGTGCAGGCCTAACAGCTGTGGCAGCAGGCCTGCATAATCCTACCTGTCATTAATATGCTCAGCACACAAACATGTACAGTATAAACTGTCTGTATACATATCACACACACTCCCAACAGTTACCCGCACAGCTTGCTGCAGCGTGTAGCAGATAGACATGTTTTGCGGCTCACCTGGAGCCTTCTATGTATGACAGGCAGCGTGTGACACTTGATGGACGACTGTTCAGAGTCTCACAACTGCTGCATCTGGTTTGATTTCTAAGCCAGACAGCGTTTATTATGAGGACATAAGGAGTGTTTCTATCCTTCCTCACAGCACTTTGTTAGCGGGTAGATGTACAGGCTTAACAATTTTCTCATCTCTTCACTCGTCTCCTCTGTACTGTACCTTCCATTGTTGAGATATATAAACATTTTAATACTCGGATGCTACAGTAGTTAATCTAACACCATAAGTGGCATTATGTAATCTGTTAGTGTTCGCTTTCTCTCTCGCTCTCTCTGCCTTGATTGGTAAACTAGCAGTCAGTGATGGCATATGCAGTCTCCCCCTCAGAGCCCATTCGCTTTCACTGTGAGCTGCGGTCAATAACCCACTGGAGCACAGCCCTGCTCTAAACCCCTCCTTAGGGATCCTTGGCTAAGATTGGCAGCAATCACCCAGCCATGGGCCGATGGATGGAGGGAGGGAGGGAAAGAGGGAGATAGAGGAATGAAGGGAAAAAGAGAAACAGAAAAAAAGTTGAGACAGCTGAAATAAAATGAAGCAGTATGACCAAAGCCTGACAAAAGCTATGGCGCAGAGACTGTTGATTAACTTCAACTAATACAAATGTTTTAAAAATTCTCTTCGATCATCTTTTGGCACAAAATTAGTTAAAAATAAACCGCATGATTGATATGAAAGACATTTGGTGTAAAATGTAAAGCAGTTTTCAATAGAGAATAAATTGTGATATACTATATATGTGTGCGTTATAGTATGTTATCTGTACTTATAGTTCAGTTCAGTTTCTGTATCTGACCCTGCAGGCTTCAACAGCGTGCGATTCATTATGCTTCACAGTGCGGTGCCCCTCCCTGATACCTCCCCATTCATTCAGAGACTCCCAGACGAGTCAGGAATCACAATTAATTGTAATTAGAACCACTGTAAGCATAACTATTGCTCTTGCGTTCTACTAATGAAGCAGGGCTGCTGTGGCCCCTGTGTATTTACCCCAGTGTAATCTATAGTATTGATGCAGGGAGGAAGACTGAGAGCAGAAGAGGGATGCTGGAATCAGCCTGACGTCGGCTGTGGTGCTTGAGTGACACCTTGTGTTAATACTGGGTATTACACCTTCAAGTTGGGGATTTCACCTTTATGTTTCAGTTGTCTTGTATTTGGGCAGTTTAGAAGTTCTGCTTCTACTCTATTTAAATGATTTGTAAATACCTATGTTGCGTTTTTCACAACCACACATACAGTATGATCAGTCTCCACTGAGCAATATGGAGTGTAAAACATAGCCTGGTTCCAGACCTCTGAACTGAATTGCTTTAGATTTGTTTAGCTATTCCAATAGT